CGAACACCTATCTCGTGGGCGTAAAAAGTCTGCTGACCTTGAACTTTACCGCGGCGTACAAAGTCTGCCCGTGCGAACGCACGCTTATTGTACTTAATTTTGATTTATGCTCTTCTCGATATACTTCGCTAATATAATGTTATTATGTATGTTTTGCGTGAAGTCGTAATTTAAATTTGCTACAACCTTAAGTCGGCATGAGTAAAATATTGCTTTTTTTGTATCGACAAGTAATAACTTCGCTTTATGCTGCCGTCTCTAGAAAGTATAAATGTTATGCATGTAAAGACCACACATATTGAAATGCTATATTCTTACAAAGAAGGAAACAAATTTTAATAGTTTCTACACTATCTACAGTGGGAAAGGGCCCATAAATTACAAGCTGCTAATATTAAGGCAGCAAGGTTGCCCTGGTTTGTCATCATGTCGTGACATTTTGACATTTGCAATTGATAATTTGAAACTTGTAAACAATTATGCGGATGAAGTCGCACGGGAACAGTTAGTAAATATTACAGTTACAATGAGGATTTTTCTTCTGTAATCAACATCTAATTTCGTGTTAAAATTATCTGACATTTCTCAAATATTTATGCAAGAAAACAATTTATGTATAGATTTGTATAATACTTAACTTACTCTCCGTTATGTTTGAAGTTTTGTGAAACATGTTAACGTATTAAAATTTATGTCAAAGTTATAAGTCATTATAACTTGTCGCACAACTGTGCAGTGCACTTGTGCAGTTCTGTTAATGTGTTTGCGTTAACTGTTCGATAGTCATTAACATAGTGCGTAACGTCTAATTACGTTCCGTTAGGAGACATCTCTGGGAATCCACCACAATCGACTCGGCCAACGGTTTATCTGCAACGGTTAGTGAATGTCCCACGATGTGTTTATATGACTGGAGTGAAAAAAGAAAACTCTATGTAACCGTGAAATTCTACACGCGACACTTACAACACGTATTGTTGTCTCTGTTTTATTTATAGTGGATGAGAGAGATGATATGTTATACAAATGTTTTGATAGAAAACTTCAGTAGTACGATCCAATCAATTTTTATCTAAAAAAATCTCAGGTTTATGCGTGATTTACATGTGTGTAAAACAGTATAGCGATGTGAATATTAACAATGTAACTACAAAGTACCAGGCGATCATGACTAAGTCAGAGTACAGCTAGTCATAGTCGATTAGGCAATTTGCAGCCAGTAGGAAGACGGCCGCGCGGCGCGTTGACGCCGGCGCCTACCACGTGTCCATTCTTGTACGACATTTGCACTCTGACCACTATATACACATTGCTTACGATGTCTTGAAAATTATTATAATACATTATTGATTGTTATCTGAAAAATAATAAAACTGAAATGGATGGAAATACAGATTGGAGTCACTTAAAACTTAATTAATATTCTTTCTGCGTGCTAAATGGTGTAAGGCTTAGATATTTGAATAGTTAAAACAATGTTGCAAGTTCATTGGCAGCGGTTGCGTGATCGGCACGCGACAGCCCCATGCGCGGGTAATCCGTGACCAATGTCAAGTATGAAGCTAACGCCTCCTATTGATAGATCGTGTAAATGTGCGCTTGCGCAATCTCATATCGATATTCTGGGTACACTGGGGTGACCAAAAAACTATCCTTTTCGGTACTAAATTTAATGTGTAGCTGTAGATATCGGTAGAGGTTTTTGAAACATTGCATTTGAAGCTAGATAAAAACTTGATATTCTTTTTCAATAATATAATTAGATAATAGTAATCTTTGTATTCCATTTTTATGAAAAGTTGATTTGCAGATCGATCTCAACGATTGATTATTGAATTCATCGGTTAGACAATATGCATTAAGATTAGTTTGAAATCGTTCTATTAAAAGTATAATATATGGTAACCCTACAACAGCAGTGTCAATAAAGTATATCGAATCGTGATCGAAGCTTTGCAATACGAACTGGTCCACACGTGGCTCTCAAGGTCTTCGTTAATTTGAACGTGGATATTACGATATTAACTACAATTTCACTTGGTTTCTATTTATTACATCGCCAGCGAAATATGAACAAATTAAATTAGCATGTAAATTACTGTCTGGCGAAAAAATAATTGAAAGTTCTGTATAATATTAATAGTGGTAAACTTTCATCTATCGAGTACTGTTCCGAGAACTGATGTTCAAGTATCTATACAAAGAAGGTTATATTATCATTCGATTAAATTAAACATAACCTAAAAATCTTTATAAAGATTGTTTTCTATTAACATTTATATTCATTATTAAAGCGGTGATTTTCCCTGGTTAGTAGAAGTTAGACTAATATTGGGGTTGAATGTTTCAGAGGAGGAGGAGGAATGCGGCATGTCGGAGGGCTCGGAAACGTCGGAGAGCGGGCGCGCTGACACCGACGATGAAGGAATCGAGCGTGACGCCGAGCCTGCGCCACGTCGCACAACGCACTGCCGACGGTTCATGCTCAAAGATGTTATAGAGGTGAGCAACATGCAATACTAGAGCAAATTTGATGGGTTTGAACTTTTAGATATTACCGAATTTCAATAAGAATGCGATTAGATTTTAGAGCATCCTTCTAATAGAGCTTTCTTGTAGTTAACTAGAGATATAATAAAATCATTAATTGAGCGTTGAGTCACTTAGTATAGGTTTCTAGATCTAGGGCGACTCGGAGTGTGGATGAAATTCCTTGATTTGCAGTCCAGTGTTCTGGATGTCTAGTTTCAAATAAGTTAACACCTGTTACGCACCTATTCACATTTTACATATAGATAACTCGTTAAGTATACGCCTTAAGTTTTTATTTTTAATAGTTTTACTCAATGTTGATTAACGTAAAGCTGACAGTATTGATCAGGTCACCTACATAGGCACTAGCAGACGCTACCGACATTTAATAGGCCGGACTTTTCGTAATACGGTACACCTCGTTATCTCTAGAGATGAATCATTGGTATTTATTTATCTTCAATGTTGGGTAGCATGGCGTTTTTTAGCTATATATCTACACTCTTGTGAACATTATAAGGCTAGGGTTACATGTACAACAAAGATTTTGTAAACATATTGAGGAACTACTTTAAAGGTTATTTCAAGAGTTTTTAAAATGCTATCGTTTATGTAATATTAATAGATAATAAACATTAGTAATAATAAAATATTGCCCATGTTACTCACAGATAAATTACCTTTCTGATGGTGAAAGAATTTTTAAAAACGGTTCAGTAGTTTTTGAGTTATTTCAATACATACAAAAATACAAATCTTACCTCTTTATAATATTAGTATAGATAAAATGACTTCCCAAAAGTAGGTGAAGAATCTTTCTATTTACATTTCACAGAAGTACCTACGGCTTTACGATTGAAAAGGAATTCACCAAAGGAATAAATTTTCTTTGAGATTTTCAGCGAACCGTTTTACATAGAAAATAATTGCTTTGCAGTCAAGTCATATTTATTCAAAGTTTAAGTAAATATAACAAAAATTGAGGTTTTTTGTAAAGTACCATTTATAAATCATTACATGAAAGTGATTAAACTGCTTCAAAATGTTATTTTAAAATATAATATCAATATTAAATCAAGTAATATTTTATTCACGTTGTTGAATCTCTTAACTCATCGTGCGTGTAAGCCCGCTTTAAATAGCTCTTCAATATGACGTTATGTTGCGTCACACGCTGTTGTGACGTGGACTTTCACTGGTGTCAGATTAGCCGCCGCGGGCCGTACCGGACTTGTTAAGTGAATCTATATTATTATGTGTATTTAAATGTTACGATAGTAGATCAGTAGAGTGCATTTCCATGCATTTCGGCCTCTAATGCGAAGTAATTTATTCTCAACGTATCATCGCTTGCGTAATGCAAGACTTAAATATTGTAAGTTGATTATGGACGCCATGTTTTGAAATATTTAATGTGTCAGATATTTGTGACATTAAAATGAGAATGTTAAGTGACAAACGTTTTAAAAATGTCTGCATTTTAAATAATCACGATTTTAGAAAGCTTATAAGTGCACTGATATCTACTGGTTTCTATGAATTTGAATTTTACAAATGGAGCTTTATGTTAGTGTAGTAATACACATTTTCCGGGTTAAATGATGTCGTTAATGTAAGGCAATAACGTAAGTTCTATTAAAAGCTTTGAACAAATAAATTAATTTCTCTCAAAAAAAATCTACTCCGACAAAAACTACAAACAAGCGATCAATACCACTTTCTTTCTAATAAACATTACATCCCACACATTTGGACAGTTTCGATTTCGGAATGTCTTCTATTTTTTAACAATTAATTTAATGACTGATTAACGAGCTAATCTCAAACTTAATTTCTTAGAACTTAAAGATATGTTTTTATTGTATAATGTCGTGTTGCATATCCATCCATATAACCAGTTATATCGTTACAATACTTTTAAGGCGATGAAAGTAAAGTGCCGATTATGTATGCTAATTTGCGTTAAATGCGTGGATGTTGATACATTTGTCTAGCTTATATCTGCGGTTGCGTGTCTAAAAGCGCAATGAATTAGTTATCGTACTTATCAATAGCCTTTCACTTGTTTCAATCGCTCCATTATTTGAATTAATTGTTGTTTATACCCAACTTTTGATAGTGTAGTTAACTAGCTGTTGCTCGCGATTTCGCCCGCGTGAAATTAAAAAATAAAGCCTATGTTACTCACAGAAAAATTACCTTTCTAACGGTGAAAGAATATATACAAAAATACAAATATTTCCTCTTTATAATATTAGTATTGATTAAATACGATAGTTTGTGTTATTGTCCACATTAACGATGATTTCGAGTGTAAAAAATTGTTTTTTCTTTTAATTCAGGGGTATGTTCATTGACAAAAATATTCTTTGCCCTTTTTATAATCTGTTTATTAATAAGCTGGTTTTAACAAATAATGTAGGTAGATTAAAAATTATGTTTGAAATGGATGTCTTCTGATTAGGTTTTAATTTGTGTTTGTGATGTTTCTTTATGTTGAAATGTTTTATTTCTTGTGTTTTGTCTCTTTTATTACGTTTTTAACTGTTTTACGTATTATTTTTGAGAGGATAAGTGTTTCTGTAAAAGATTCTGGTAATCGTCAGAAAACTCTTAGTTTATTTTTCGCATTACGTTCTTGTGTCAATCGAAATTCGTACGCGTTGACAAACGTAAGTTTTGATATAATTTTGTTATTTATTTTAGTGTTTATTGTCATAAACAACCAAATCCCAAACTATAATTTACATACGTAAAGTAAGATGTTATCAAATGTTAATTTTATTTAAAGTGTCGATGTTTTATTTTTCCATTTTTTTTAGATTTTTATTAACTTATTAAAACTTTCGTGAGACATTATACTATACAAATTATTATTTATGTATTTTTATTCTATTTTACAAACTTAATTATTCAATTATTATTTTATAAAATTCTTGCCCTGTTTTATGGATATAGTTTAAAATATATATTCACATAGTCACACAGCTCTGGTAAATTCTGTCCGCTTTTCACCGGGACATGCGTACATGATGTGGGTCAAAACTTGATGTCCGCATTAATATTTCACTAAAGGTTAACCCTGTCTTGTCTTACTTTGCTACGGTTATGTTGTGTTAACCTATAAGTGTATATCACTCGTATTTATGATTTAAACGAATGCTTATTGTTGTTTTAGGTCAATTAATGTGATTTAGATCACAGTTGTTGGAAATAAAACTCAACCCTTTGAATAGCTTGCATAGAAAACTGCACAAGTCCAGCTTAACCTAGAAATGTGGCCTGGCCTACATTTGTTATTTTAAGGGTTCATACGTCAAGTCAAAATCGTTTAAATATATCACGGAATTATTCTGACTTTATCGTTGAGTAAAATTTACTTCATTTGATTCAGTTTGTTATCGTAATCATGATTAGCATATTTTCAATACAAAGGACGTTAACTTTTAAAAATAGCATTATCTTATCTCCGCAGAAGTGCAGTATCGGTTAATGTCGAATTATTGTTGACATTGAGAAAGCATATTGCAATTTAACGATTCAAGTTTTATAGGTTTTTAAAGTTCTGTATTGATAACGATAGTGTAGAAAATGATAAGAAGCTAGTACGATATTTAGGTACAGATACGTGCAAGTAGTGAATTAGTTATTATGCTTCATACTTCATACTAATATTATAAATGCAAAAGTTTAGATGGATGGATGGACGTTTGTAAGAGTTTGTAGTCTAAACGGCTGAACGGATTTCAATGAAATTTGCCATAGATGTAAAACTTTTAGTTTACTAATGTAGCAATTGTTTCTTCAGCGTTGTGTGTGGCACTGCGGTGGTGTTGGGCGGGGCGCGCGTGAGGCGGCGGGCGCGCATTACCGCGCCGTGTGCCGCGCGCTGCTCTCCGAGGCGCTCGAGCTGGCCTCGTTCCTGGTGCGTGTGCGTGTCGGCGGCGCGCGGAACATGGGCGCTGCGGAGGATTCCGCAACACATCTGGACACGTTGCACTTCTCAGATTGGGTACGTTTGGAGACAACTGCAACTGGGATTATGTTATGAGATCTAAACGTTCCCAGAGCCGGAGAATGATAAACCAAAAGTCTAGTTAGGACTTTTTTTGCGAGTAGACTCTTGATATAAAACACACTGTCTATTTCAATAAATGGTTAGTTACAAATAATTCTCTTGATTTCATGAGTACTTAATTCTCGAGCTATGTTCTGGCACGTCATAGATTATCCAATAACTGGTTTTAAATATGCAGAAGAGTTTCACAAAGATTATAGTTTAAACAAATATAAATATAGGAAACTAGGAATATGAAATACGCTAATCGGTTGTGACATAACTTAGTGTAAGCTAAGCTAACCAAGCTATTATAACTGCAGTAAATTTAGTAAGTAACATAAGTAAGCTTCAGTACACGTCGCCGTTTTCCAGGTAGTTTGCGTATCGTAAGAGGTTACGTAAATAAACAACTTAAGTGCCTTCTGGTAACTTAAAGAAAATAATGCAGTAGGTTAAAGTTACACTAAGTATAATAGTAATGATTTCAATATAACTTTATTGAATTTCAATTAAATATTTAAAAACACTTTTTAACTTGCGTCATTTTCTAGTAATGTGTTGTTTAAAATCCTAAATTGACATGTCACTACATGTCTCAAGTTCAAACGCCTGCAATGCAAATACTAATCGATTTGTATTCAAGGACGAAAAAAAACGTTTTGCAATGTCGCAAAAGTATATAACACGTACTGCATATATCTAATCAAATTGTTTAATCATTGCATTGCAAAAAGAACTCTGATACTCTAACATACGGTTTACTATTCGAAAATAACTATGAAATATTTTTAAGTAGTTTAAAATCAGTGAGGTAATAGGTTATGAAAAGCGCGCGAATGCGTGTGTAATGAACCATGTAATATTAATGGCGGACAATGATCTAGGAATTCTCTTGTGAATTAATTGCAAATGGCCGTGTGAACGCGGGAGTCACCTGGTGGACGCTAATGGACATTCCTTGTACGCTAATATTTATATTAGGTTTAGTTGTTTTCCGGGCGATTACGAAGACGCTTAAAATGGAAGGGATTAACAAATTTTATAGAATCTTGTTAGGAAATGTAGAATTTTGTTAAGTATTATTTGTGTTTGACGATAATTCTAAATTCTAACGTACATTTTTGCAAAGAGTTTTAGTCAAAAATTATTAACCTGAATTTAATGTATAACGTAGTTATATTAAGCCATTTCATAATATTGCAATAGCTTGCATTGTTGTCACTCAACCACACGTGAACCAAACTGGACAAAATGTCACTGAACATTTATTTACAGACTGTACTAAAATAGTATGTTGATATTTAATACAGCTGTTGTCCGTGACCTCTATTATAAGAGCCTAAAAGCAGCCCTTATTTTATGCCCGTTTCAAGGATTTCTTTCGAAGTTTAAATTATTTTTAATTGAGTAACTACGAAACGAAAATGTAAGGAATATAAAACACAACAAACTGTATACACATAAATATAAATCTTCGTTTAATCTCCTTTATAGTCAAACCGAAGGATTTGGAGAGCTTTGCAAGTATGTAATTGTGCTGAAAATAACATTGCTTCAATCAATATCAATATTGATGTTATTGTTTTATTTTATTATCATGCCTTATAACATGCATGTACTATTTCAATTTTAAATGTTATTGCTGAAGTCATAATTTTTGCTTTTTGTGTTCATCATCGGATGCGCCTGTATTAATTTTATAGCAAACAATAGTGACTGTTAATTGCTATTTATTTTCCCAGGCGCGTTTCTGGATGCAAGTGATCGGAGAGCTGCGGATGGGAGTGAAACTGAAGAAGGTCAACTATTCTAGGACCCCCATCGAGTACGAGTTGACTCCGTACGAAATACTAATGGATGATATCAGATCAAGAAGATATACTTTAAGAAAAGTAGATGGATCAATACCTCAGAGGTAACTTTTGTTGATTTTACACTTTTATAAAGGAATTTTTAAATACTTAAATGTGAACTTTATCACAAAAAAGACGTCTATTTATGCAAAAAATAATGAACAATTTTGTAATGTTTGTCTTTGTCAACAGTGTGAAGAAGGACGCTCATGCGATGATTCTCGAATTTATTAGAAGTAGGCCGCCACTCAGAAAGGTAAGAATTATATTGTTTAACTCCACATAAAAAAACATATTTTTTATTACTTACTTATATATTTCGATACCGTTTTTCATAAAAAATGTCATCTAATTTTTGATCAGGCCTCGGAACGTAAGCTGCCGCCGCCGCGAAGAGAGACCACGCCGCGGGAGCAGCTGCTGGCTTCCATCCAGCGCGGCCGCCCGCTCAGACCCACGCCATACTCGCGCACATACCGTGAGTACGCTATACTAATACTTGAATCGTCTTGATACTGTCGTACTGTCAATAATAAATGTAATACAGCGCCATCTGTCGTTAGTAAAATACATCAAAAAAAGTTTTCTTCAGATAGATGGCAGGCGTGTTTTAATGAATTACTGTTTTCTCCTACGATTTGAAATATTGGTAATTATTGGTTGAAACTTTATCCGGTTTTTTCTCAATTACAAAATTCGCTTGTTATTGAACTAAAAGAGCGATCAGATTCCCACAATATTATATCATTGGTGGATATCCGTTTTATAATTACGCTAAGATGTGAAAGTTTACTATTATTGCTTCCTTTAATTAACAATTAATCCGTTTAAGGAAAATGCAATATGGACTAAAATAGATTATTATTAAATTATTTTAGTTCCTTTCCCTTCCCATCATTTTATGATAACAAGGAGTGGGAATAGAAAGTGAATTTGACAGACGCATAGGAAGAGGAAATATTTTCTTTCTGTTCCTTCCTTCGTGGATTAATTTTGGGCAAGGTAACTGCAATTGTGTAAAACTGTGGGCTGCGATGGGTTCGCCATTTTTCGAATTTAGGTGGCCGCTTTCTCGTTTGTCACTTACATATTGTCAATACAACACTACTTCCATAGATTAATTAAGATAGAAAACAAATACGATTATCTACAGTTTTGAAAACGTTACTTACTTTTGAACCCTTGTTCCAGAATTCTAATCCTTTCCCGGAGTCCCTACCCTGTGCCTATTTTCCTTTAAGAAGAAATTATCATTCCCATCGAAACCTTCAGTATTTTATAAGCTTTTTGGTAATTTATTTTGTCTTAGTTTAAGATCATTGACTATTAATAATGAAGCGGCGAAGAAAAATTGAACCACAAATAGTTATAAAAAATATATCAGTCCACTGAGAACCTTGTAGATAATTTCGAACATATGTACGCGTTTTTAAATTATGTATTTCTGTTTAAAACAAAAATCAAACAAAACTTATTCTCATTAGTGGTTACAAAAGTACAGTACACTCTAGTATAAGGCAAATAATGTTTTTTGATCTTTCTGATAATAAAACTTAGTATTCCTGAATTTATTTTATTATGTAACTAGCTTTCCCCAAGCCATCCGCGTAGAATTAAAAAAAAAACAAAACTGAGTATCCTCTACATCTATAGCAATTTTCATCAATGTTCGTTTATCAGTTTAGGCTACAAACTCTACCGAACATCCATCCATCTAAACTTTCACATTTATAATATTAGTACGATAAGATGGCTATTAGTGCTTTTTAAACTCTAGTAAAGATCTTAATGTCCTGAAAACCAACATTGGAAGATCGTATTTTTTTTAACTGCACTTTTTATGTTATAACTATTTCCGTAGGAGCCGTTTTGATGTCCTAAAAGTAACATACGACTAACATTTATTACCCCATTGTGAGGTGCGTTTCGAAACTAGATCGTGCTGCGCTTGAATGCATCGTGATGTAACATTAGTCTAAAGACGAAGATAGCGTAAACCATAACAAAAGACTAGCATTATTAATATTTCTTGTATTGAACTAATACATAACCCTTTAGTGCGGTTTCATACATAATTCAAGTAATAATTTACAGTTAGAATAATTACCTTGATAATAAAAAAGCAAATAATATGTCGGAAAGGATTAAACTGTTGAGTTTTTAGACACGTTTACAATAACGTTTAAAATAAACATTTCGTTTGTTAAATATGTACATACTTAACAAATATATATGCCACGTGTATTGTGTGCACAAACTGTGTAGGCGTAGGTAAATATTATGATACAAGCTGTACCCGTGCGGCTTCATCGCATGAAATTGTGAAAACTTTATTTTATTGTTTACATTTGTTGAATTATCAATAGCAAATGTCAAAATGACATGACATGATAAACTTTGACAATCTTGCTTCCTTGATGTTGGCAGCAACTTATGGTCTCTTTCCCACATTAGGGTTTTTATCCAAAATATATAGCCCTAAGTTTAATGGCGGGAAAATATATAGCCTAAAGCGTAACGTGAGCGTAGGGCTTTTTATTACAAAAAAGAGTTATTCAAAAATACTCTGTAATTGCTGACATCTTAGACAACAATGAAGTGTGTGTTTACGCTTTATTATAATAGTATAGATTATGTTATATATACATAATAGTTCTCAAGTGGTTCCGCCATTTCTGATAAGAATATATTGGATTGATAGAGCTCTTGAATGATGGTATAAATTAATTAATTTTTATGTCAAACTAGCTTTCGCATGCGATTCCATCCGCGTGGAATTAAAAAAAAAAAGCAAGTACCCTATGTATTCTTCCTCTACATCTATACCCAATTTCATAGAAATCCGTCCAGCCATTTAGGCTACAAACTCTAACAAACATCCATCCATCTAAACTTTCGCATTTATAATATTTGTATGATATTTAAACAGATAAATATTGGACTACTAGAACTTACTAACCGCAATGTTTGTGTCTGCATTATTGATTAACAAACTCTTATAAATACTGCAATCAACTATACACAGTAGTTAGACTTTCAGAAACTAATCATAAGACGACTGCAACAGATTTAAAAAGAAAACATACTATGTAGCCTCAATCGTATTCGAACAGGAACTATGTCGCTTAGCAAACCTCTTTGCGTCACACCTCTTATTGCAATATTGTTCACATTCGCTTCACTTCATCGCGACCTTGCACACAAGATAGGACTACATTTCCGACAAATTAATCGCGTCTCTAGTGTTTGTGGTTTCGTATAAACATATATTTTTAAGAAACAAAAGAACGTTTATGTTTATCAAAGTGTAGTGCGTCTTGTGACAATATTCCGTTCTACGCATAACAAACTTTGTACAAAAACATCAATTCTGCTGTATTTTTTTATCTATTTATTATCAACCTAATGTCAATGTATTTTATTCTATACTAGCTGTTTTCGTGCGGCTCCATCCGCATGGAATTATGAAAATTTTATTTTATTGTTTACATTTGTCAAATTATCAACAGCAAAAGTCAAAATGACATGACATGACAAACCTTGCCAATCTTGCTTCCTTGATGTTGGCAGCAACTTATGGTCTCTTTCCACATTAGGGTTTTTATTCAAAATATTTACCCCATAAGCTTAATGGCGTGAAAATATACAGCCTAAAGCGTGACGTAAGTGTAGGGCTTTTTATTAAGAAAAGAATCAGACATCTTTTTGCAACAAAGAAGTGTGTGTTTACGCTTTATTATAATAGTATAGATTCTATATTCTATAGTCAAAGTTATTTTACAAATTGAAAGCACTCTATCTAATACATTGATATTTAGGTGACAAGGGTTACGTAATAGACTTTAGATGAAAATATAGGTCCGCGCGGCGCCTTGGCGTCTGTTCTGTACAGAGCATCTCGTATTGATCCATAGCAATAATTTACACTAATGTTATCTGTACTGTAAATAGTTAACGAATCAAATAGCGTTACGGTTTTATAACGTAATACGTTAGGTTTTTTTCTGGCTAATTTGCCTGATAATTTTGTGAAAAGCTATATGTTTGCAAAAACAGATTAATTCTGAATAATTATCTAATGCTGAGTTTCTGAAGTTTCAACATATTTTGCCATTACCTAGCAATTCATTAGTGATATATGTTACAACGGAATAAAACTCAAGTTACGTAGTTCTGAAACGCATTTCATGAAGTTGTAGAACCAACAGTAACGAGTTAAAAGTAGCTGGGAAACCGATCATAAGTAGATTAATTAGATTGTCTGTTATTTTAACGAATGATGACAGTTAGATTTGAAGATGTTTAATTTATTCCATATCATAGTAAAAATAAAATAAACACTAGCTTCCGCCCGCGACTCCGTTAGCGTGGGGTTGAAAAGAACATAAGTGAATAGCCTATGTGTTCTTCCAGACTATCCTATACATCTATGCCAAATATTATCGAAATCCGTTCACCCGTTTAATACAAACTCAAACAAACATCCATCCATATAAACTTTCACATTTATAATATTAGTAAGAAGTAAGATTCATGTTTATATCTCCGTGTCTACTCGTAGAATGAGTTATTAGATGTATTGAAGATATACTGTTATTGTTTGTTGTAAGTGCATTGGAATTAAAACATTGAATTTCTATAATTGTAAATAGATAGGCAATGACCAATATAGTACGGTCATACAAGACTAGTATGAAGATTGAATGTGGCTACAAAGGAATAGGAAGACCGAAGAACGAATGGATTGTGTGAAAGAGGATATGCTTAAGAAGGTTGTGGATTCAGATATGACGGCTGATAGAAATGTATGGATGAGCATTACTTTGCCGACCCTCCGTAGGAATAAGGGCAAGTTGATGACGATACGAGACTACTTTAAAATTAACAGATTATACTGATATTAATTTAAAAAAAATCATATCCCCGAAAGACTAAAGTTACACTTCACCTTGCAACCTCTAATTTTTAATATAAATTAAATGGCGTATAAAATAGATTTTTTTTTTGTTAATTAATATACGTCAAGGATGGAGGATACATTTAAGAGCCCGCGGAGGCCGTTTAAAAAAATCTTTATAATTACGAGTACTTGTTAGTATTAACAAAGATTAATAAACCTTGATTTATTTTACAAAACATACGCTTTTATTAAAATTGTACAAGATAATTATTTGTAGGAGAAACTCAGTGGTTGTCAAACTTTTCATCTTTTTAGAAAGTGGAATTGATGATTTTCTCAGTTACATCATTTTTATGTCTATTATAATATACCAATATTTATGTTTGAGTAAACCGAGTTTACTTTTATTAAATATTCGTACAAATTTAATGTAAAAACATGAGTAAACACAACTTTTCTCCAGTTTTTGAGCGCATCAAACAGTAACTCCTTAAACAACCAACAATTTGATTTGCCTAATTTTAGAAATTAAAAACAAAAATCTTCATGTTGGGAAGTCGGTAAAAAAAATTGGACTG